TTTACGGCAGTAAATAGGCCGTATTTGCCCGTAATACCTGGCGCAGTAATACGGCACCGTAAACGGGACTGAATTTTCATGGTTTACGGCTGTTTGTGCTCCGTACTCTCATGATAATACGTATTACTGCGCCAGATATTACGGCAAACTTTTGCCCGTAAAATAGTCGTTAATTAACCGTCAATGGCCGTATACGAACCGTACTGTTCGACCTGGGTACTCAAAGGCTCTTAGTCACTAGAATTTAAGTACATGCTATCTTAAAAACTTCACATTTTATCAACAATATCAATAGCTATATCCTAAATACGGTTTACGCTATTATTATTCACAATATTTCTGAATGAAACCAATAAACAGTTAAACATAATGAAATATTCTAAGCAATAAGTTCTTCATATGTTGTCTTTAGTAGTATTTCCTATTGATATATCCAATAACCTTCATATGTTAAAACTTTTTTTTTCTCTGCTGTTTTTAAATGAAATATGAACTCACTACATTGAAAAAATAAAATCCTATTTGATCAGTATCTAACTGACTCAAATATATGTGAGTTCCACATTTTTGCCTCAACGGGGCTGCGCTGAAAAGTTTTTTTTTGTTTGAATTTATTGCAGCTGTAATGATTACTAATGATTTGAATGATCAGTCTAAAGTCTTTTCCCTTCTTTGTTTCATTTAAAATTTATTTTTCAAATGTTTCCAATTCAATTCACAATATCTTATATGAACTGTTATTGAATTTTTACAAGATGAATTTTTCAAAAAACATATAATGACACAATCGAAAACGACAACTTTCTTCAAGATCCAAGCCATGGGCTCATTCTCGAACATAGACCTTATCGCTTTGCATGCTTTTTACTACACCCTAACAGATATTGATATAATTTTTTCCAATAAACAGTTTCTAGAATTTCTATCGAACAAAATAAATAATGAAATAATACTGCTGTCTTCAAGCAATGCATAGAAGATGATATGTAAAACAAAGGCTAAATTCAGTATCAATAACATTTATTTTTCTAATGTAATGATGTAGGTATACAGTTGAGAAAATAAAAATACAATACTATCTTAATATTTATTTCAAAAAGAAATTGTTTATTTTCAAATAAGTTGCACAATTAATTTGTTTTTTTTTTGTTCAGCAGCACATAAAGTTCTTAATAGTATAACGAATCATTTAATTTTAATCCTGTTGTTTTCGTTTATTTTTTTCGGCTACTTGTGATTTTCCTTTATTGACTTGGACTCTTTTCCAGGCTGTTGAACTATCATCCGAAGAAACTTGTTCACAGACGATTGCTTGACTATCTTTATCTAGAATTACATCTGAAATATTTATTATAAACCAAAGAACAAATTATACTTGAGTGATGTAGCTGTCCGATTGATTTAACATCTGAGGATTACCACGTTATTAATTCTCGTTTACACAATTTGATTTCAATCTAAATGAAACAGATATGTAAATCAAAAAATAAGATTTATCTTACATGTTCATCTGCAATATTGTAGCTACTTTCTATAGGATTAATATAATGAATAAGATTGAATTGAATAGAATAATGGAATTTTAATGAAGATGTTTTGATAAGAACAATAACCTAAAATAGTATATTAATTTTACAAAAACAACATTCACAAAAAATGTTAACATTTGTATCCTTTATTGAAACTTCAATTCGCTCTGCTGTTAAATCTTTAATTGGTACTTTAATGGTAACCGTACTATCCGTTTGATTGCACCAGGATCTAAATAAAAAGTTATATTTATTGATAAGAACAGATACAATTTATTCACATACTTAATTTCAAAAGCTGGTAAATAAACAGGAGTATTATCACCAACAATAGCAGAACTTTTTTCTAAATAAAAAAAAGATTAGGAACTATTTTAAATGACACAAATGATAACTCACGCATTATTTCATTTTCAATTTTCATTGCTTTTCCTTCGAGATCGTTCACTTCCAGACCTAGCTGGTACGATTTTGTTAACTGCCACGCATGATCATCGGTACTTGTTTTAATTTGATTTGCGCTCAAACCTTTATTAACTGCGTCTTGCTGATTGTGATATGCGTTAATGAGAACCATTATCTGTTTTATTTCTTCTTCTTGTTTTTTCTCGATCTATATTAAATACAAAGCATTGTTACTAATTTAAAAATTTACTTATCTGTTAACTTACCAATTGTTTTGCAGCACTTAGCTGAGACATTGTTTGTGGTGGTGGTTGTTTTTTGTTATCTAAAATTGAAACAGATAGACAATAATGCGCCTTTACAGTTTTTTTTATCGACAAGTTAGTAATGGTCGAAATACAAACTGGACGATAATAATCAGACGAGAAGAAAATAGTGGAGACTATCACTTTAATAATATCGACAGAAGAACAGAAGAACGAAGCCCTGGAAGATGTACATATCAGAGACCCGCGGTATGCGGTATCAATACCGTACCGTATCGTACCGTACCGTGGAGAAACGAGACGGTATTGAAAAAAAAAGAAGTAGGACGAGACGGAACGGGACGGTATCGATAAGTCGCGGGACGGGACGGTATGCGGTATCAGGTAGCTATACCGCTCTCCCGTGTCGATGCAAGAAGTCTTTTAATAATGATTTTCAGTGGCATCTATTGTATATTTTTTTTATTCGCGTGAAGCATCAATAAAAACTGAACAAATTATTGATCTCTTGTTTCCATTGTTTTGAATTTATTGTTATTTATTATAAAGTGAATTGTATTGAAAATGGATTATAATCAATCTGATCAACATACTTGTGAACCATCATCATCGATATCATCATCATCCACATTCACATCATCCACATCATCATTAGTCACATCAACATCATCATCGTCAACTGGTTCTGGTATTTCTTCTTCCACAGTGTCATCTAATGAAAATGATACTCGTGAAAAAATTCAACACCATTTAAAATATAATAAAACTGAATATATAATCCTTGACAATCCAAATTCAAATAATAAAAAGTCGTCTGTTTGCTGGCGTTCATTTGGATTTCCAGCGAAGCGCGACATTAATGGTGTTCCTCAGAAAATTAAAAATTTTGTTTCATGCAAGAATTGTTTTACCACTTATTCATATGCTTCAAATAGCACCACGTTTCTCAACAAGCATAATTGTTTATCTTCTGATCGAAAACCAAATTCTACTTTATCTTCATCTTATAATACATCGTCTTCTCAAACTTTGATTACAACATATGGTCAACCAAAAACTGTTCGATTACCTGATTCACATTCGAAAGATATGAAAGATCTATTGGTACGATGGATATGTAAAGACATGAGACCTTTTGCTACAGTTGATGATGATGGATTTCGTAAAATTGCTCAACGTTGTGTTTCCATTGGTAATTTGATATTTTATTGAAAAAATTCTTTCTTTTTTCTGTATAACAGCTTTTAAATATTTTAAATATTGAGATTTCTGCGTTATTTATCATCAATGATGAACCATAGAAAACATATTTGGCTAACATTAGTGATTAATTCTACAATTAAAGAACAATGAATCTTATATAAATGAAATATAGATATCTTTTGCATCTTTACTCAATAAAATATTGAAATTTTTTGTCTATTCAGGTGCTCAATATGGAAATATTGATATTAATCAAATTCTTCGTTCATCGAGTACAATTTCTTCACATATTCATGAATTAGCCGATACTGAACGTGCTCGACTGAAGAATCTTTTATCTTTGGCTACTAAAAATGGTTCTCTTTGTTTATGTCCTGATTTATGGACAGATAGCAATCGACAATGTTCCTATTTGGGTATTACTGCTTCCTTTGTTGATGATGAATATCATTTGCATAATATTGATTTATGTTGTCATCCGTTTCCTAATGTAAGGAAAACAGCTGAAAATATTATTATAGTGAGTATACGAAATGTTATTATGAGAATTTTTTATTTTTCTTAATATAGGAATTGGAAAAGGCCTTGAGTCGATTCGAAATTTTTGATCTTCATGGTATAACATTTGTTTCTGATCGAGGTGCTAATTTCCTTAAGGCATTAAAACGTTTTCAAGCTTATTCATGTGCTGCTCATCGGCTAAACAATATTGTCAAACGTTGTTTTTTTGTTAATGAGAAAAGTAAAAAACAAGATGATCTTGAAGAAAATGTTTTTACTAATGATGATGAACTTGAAGAAGATATTGAAGCTCTAATCGATGTAACTGCATTAAGTGATATACCAAGAAAAGCTTTGCACGTTCTTCAAAACATAATCGAATGCAAAAAACTCGTCAAATACGTAAAGAAAGTAAGTTTTGATCTATATGTGCTCCTGAACGAATAGTAATTAGGTAGTAAATTCAGCATACATAAAATCTGCTCTACATAATATAGTCACTGAAGGAGTTTTAGAAAGTAAAAATTCTAGACAATAATAAAACGACGAAAGATATTAACCTATGAAAGAGGTTTTAATTGAAACAGTTGATTTTTCAGAAAAGTATTACGTGTTTCTTTTTAGTCTGGAATAAACCCAGAAATTAAAGAATATGGTGGTGTTAGTCTTAAACAGTCAATTAATGTTCGTTGGCTTTCTTTTATCAATCTCCTCGAATCCATTGACCGATCATTTTTTTCTATAAGAAAGGTTTTGGCGAATAAGAAAAAAACTTTTGCAATTGAACGTGAAGTTGTACAAGGTTTGATTCGACTTTTATTACCATTCAAAGAATTACTTACTAAGCTTCAAACTTCGAAAACACCTTCTATCCATCTTGTTCTCATTGGTATTGGTAGCCTTCGAACAACTCTTTCATCATTTGATATGCTTTTGGAATATGAAAAGAAAAACAAAATCTATTTTCAAGAAGAAAATTTAGATTCATTAGATATTAATTCTTCAAATTCAATTCAAGAAGATGAAGGTAATTTAATATTTATATTTTTCATTAAACTGATCCTTAATCAGGAAGAATTTAGAGCAGAGAATAATTTTTTTCGTACATAAGATATTTTATAGCGAAATAAAATGGCATTAATTTTTTTCATATAGGTCTTCGATTTTTTCGTCTTCGCTTATCACATCTAATGGAAGAAATGTTCTCATTTGAACCTATTCATTATGCGTCAAACATGCTTCATCCAAAATATCGACATTTAAAAAAAACTAGCAGCCACGATAAAAATAATTGTAAATATTTTATTCGTCAAATGATGAAACTAGTCATTGATCAAGAAAAATCTAGTTCGACATTTTCATTACATTCATCAACCAATCATGATGGAGAATCATGTCCGAAAAAACGAAAATATTTTGGTGAAGAGTACGAAACTGGTAATGTCAGTGATGAGTATGACATGGATGATGATGAATTAGAAAGATATCTTTGTAAACGTTTGGATTTAACAAATTTATCTGATAATCCACTTGATTTCTGGAAAAACAACAAAATTGAATTTCCGGTCTTAGCGAAAGTTGCTTGTCAAATATTTAGTGTACCAGCAACATCTGCATGTGTTGAAAGGTCTTTTAGTTCTGCTGGAAATATTGTTACAAAACGTCGAACCAACATCAAGCCTACTCAGCTAAATAATGTTCTTTTTTTACGATCTTTTTATTCGTTTAAATGATGATAAATGGTTTTATGTATATTTAGATATTGTTTATTGATATATGAAATTGTTTTTATTTATGTGCTCATAGTTTGTATTTGTTGTTAATATTCTTTGAAAATGTAATCTATATATGTGAAATAAAACAGATCATAGCCTGTTTGAAAACAAACTAGAAAAATTGTTCTAACGGTACGGTATTTCGCGAGACGGTATACTATGAACTTCATGCGGTAACGGTACGGTACAGTATTGAAAAAAAATTAAGTGGCACGGTACGGTACGGTAGAGTACTGAAGAAAGCGGTACACGGTACGAGACGGTATCAAATTTTTGCAATACCGCCGGTCTCTGATTTGAATCCTGTATTTTTACATCGACAGACATAATTTTCTCAAAAAAGTGAGCCTACCCTAGATTGGAGTCATTCCGCCGTCTCCGTATCGGTGTGCTCAGGCGCTATTTAAAATAGCTA